GGATGAGCAGCATCCACTATCTTTACTTGCTGGTATACAAAAGGGGTAGGAAATCAGACCGCATAGTTAATCAAACGCCTGAAATTTTATTCATAAAAATAATAATTGGGATCAGGATCCTGGCTGAGTAGAACATTCAACGAGAGCTGATCTGTAAGATTGAGATCCTTCTGTTCTTTAACAGAAGTATGTAATAATAATACAGCGTCTCAGTGTTCGCTAGAACAGTTCCAGCCCAAAAAGTTTTTATTTTATTTCATAGTTAACTGGCAATTAGAGTCCCACGGAGAAGCAGTAGGAGATAGAAGAATATAAATTACCAGGAAAGAGTCAAGACGGTGATCTTAGGCAATTAAATACCATCGTTAATTTGATAGTCAGTGGTAAGGAGTTTCCCAGGCGCTGAAGGAAAAGCAGACCGACTGTTCGAGTTCTAGCAACAGAACTAGGAATCCGAAATGGTGGGCACTTGAAATTCAAAATCTTTTAGACTATCCACTTTCGCCTGCTTTCTAAAAAACTCCACCCGAGGGTGTTTTAGCCCCTCTGAACGAAATAATGATAATTCTGCTGTCAAATGAACTTAATATCAACTTTTCTCCTTCCCGGCCAGTGTTAACTAAATTGCAGTCATGTGTGTTAAAAGCGGAGGTCCAGGATGCACGGCACTTACTTTCAACTTCATACGTGAGAGCTTTACTGCTTTTTCTCCTTACGCTCACCTCAGGTTCGAGCCTGTGAACGCAAAAATTGTCCGGTGGACGGCGGTTGGGGAGAGTGGGGACCCTGGACGCACTGCTCTCGTAGCTGCGGAGGTGGTATTCGTCGACGACAGCGTCGTTGTGACAACCCGAAGCCACAGTTTGGTGGAAAACCGTGTGGTCCTCCGGAAGCAGCAACGGAAACCGCCGAATGTCACGAGAATCCTTGCCCAAGTAAGTGATCCTTCCCCCAACGTCTGTCTATGTGACCTCATTGGAGTATTTAGAGGGGTCGCAACTACCTTGTATAGTAAGGGGAAAAAGGGTCACAAAAAGAACGAATAACGCCTCAGACCCCCTGACCGATATGTGAGGATAAATTTCACCCCAATAGGTCATCGGTTAGTTTCCGTCAACGAGAGCATACTTTTTTTAAATCCAAGGCGGCTATTTAATTTAACACTAGAGCTTACTTAACGCCGGGCCCCATTCGGTCTTCTCGATTCGGAGCGAAGGTGGGCTGTTGGCGCGAACTAGTCCGATGTCATTATAATCTGTCCACTGTGAGACCGAATAGCCTGTTGGTGCACTTGGTGGGCTTCCTCGAAATCAGTGGTCGAACACACACAGAGCTTACTTAACATGTGTAGCCACAAACCGCCAGTCAGACGATAAGCAATCATCAGCCGCGGAAAAAGCAAGATCAAATAGAGAAAGTGCACATAGAATTTCTTACGAAGGAGATCGTCTCACACGACGTCATTGGTGTAATTAAAACCAATTGGAGTCAGGCACCCGATTAGAATTAATCTCACGGTTCATCGCCTGCCAACCTATCAGGCTTGCTCTCACGTTGATAGGCCTTTTCCCAATCAGCTGAGGCTATTACTTGAAGGCTATCGTGAGGCCAAACAGCTTCTCTGAATCTCAGGACAGTTATTCCTCTGTGTTTTTAGTCAGCTTTCCACCTCAGCCTTCATTAGCGGCTCAATTATAATTTCGGAAATGAAATTAATGGTCCGGCTGCATGGAACACCTGTGTCAACAGTGTTAACGAAACGCACTGTCGGGTTATCATCCGATACACCGGCCGACCGCTCAATGGATAACTTCAGTGCTGTGTCACAACGCACCTTCTGGGGATCCCGCACTCCATGTAGTCTTGAAGTAGTTTTTTAATTAGAAGGTATTGCCTAGGGCAAGTTTTAATCCCTAGCCTTATTTCCCAAAAGACAGCCTGCTGTCTTCCCGATAGAAAAAAATGTCCCCAGTCTCTATTGTGCATTAGAATTGGAAAGACAACAATCTTCGCACATGGTGCACAGCTTTCCTATTCTTTTCGAGGATTATCATAACAAATTTACATATACATATACGAGTACTAGTAAAATAAATGGAGACTAGGTGGCCATTTTGGGGCTTATTGACCGTTGCTAGTCCGCCAACTCCAATTTCGGGTGTTGCTAACCAGAAACAGTCATGCCAGTCTGTCTTTTCTTTGCTGGTGCATATTCCTGCGTCGTCATTGGTGAATGCTCTAGACTAAATGCGAAGGCGCAATGGCACGATCATGTTCCGCGACCTGACCAGTAAACTATTCGCCCACGATATCCTGATCCGAACACAGACCTCCCTTGCTCAAAGTTGATATCATTAGGACTCACATCTTCTTAACCCTGTTTGCTTCAAGGGTAGGTGTAATTCCGCACTAGATAAGTTCGTAAGTCCCTGAATATTTTATCCCTCATACAGCCAACAGTCTACTGAATCGGTGGACCTCATAATATCTGCTGGCGCTCATTGGACACGTTTCCTGCCTGCCGATTAGCAGCGTTAAACT